ATGCATTGAAACTTATTAAAAAAAAAAATTTAAATGCAGCCATATATATATATAAAGCATTTAATTTTGATTTGCATCATATAGTAAGCGCAGTCATGGATCACTCTTTATAAGCTCAGCTGTGATTATTTCCAGGTGAAGCGTGTGATGAATGGAGTGTTTCAGTCTCTCAGAGCGGAGTTTGATCTGAATGAGACCTACACAGGAAGTGCTGTTCTCCGAGTGCTGGTCAGCACTATCAAGGTCTGACAAATCTCTGTCCAACACAACATGAGCTTTAAAAATTTATTCTGCAGATAAAAATGTCACACAGTGTGTTTTTCTCCTCCAATCACAGAATGTCACACTGCAGCTGCTCACCAAAAAGGAGAGATCTTCATCTGAACCCAGTGAAAAAGAAGAAGAGGAAGAGGAGGAGAGAGAGACTGACGCTCAGCCTAGACATGAGATGCATATAAACGGCCAGAGAGAGCGCGATTCTGCAGGGCAGGATGAAGATGGACAGCAGCAAGTGGAGGAGGAAGGTGTTTCACTAGCGGACGAGAAGAAAGAAGAAACGGAGGAACTTGAAAGAGTTGAAGACAGGAGTGAACAGGAAGTTGTAGAAGAAAGGAGTGAAGAGAAAGTTGTGGAAGAGAAGGAAGTGGAAGTTACGGAACACAATGTGCAAGATCAGGACAGTGAGAGCGGCACAGAAACTAAAGGCGAAGAAGAGACTGAAAGTGACATCACAACCAAACAGGAAGTGACCCCAGAGCCGTCTGAGGACATAAGTCCTACACAGGAAGCCAAGGTAATTGATGAGAGTGTTACAGGGCCTTTAGATGAACCAGAAAGCACACACATGACATTAGGTGGACCTCCCAAGACCCCGCCACCACCTCCTCCCGCTCCGCAGGATACATCTGCACTGCTCTCCAGGTACGTAGTCAACCGCTAACATGCTAAATGTGCTTCACTATTATGAAAGCAGATTCATTTCCCAGGTTGTTTAAAGAGGGTTCACCCAAAAATGAAAATCAGTATTTACTCACCTTCACATCATTTTAGTATCGAGATAATATTAGTTATTTTTTATTTTTAGATCTCTTTTCTTTTCATTTTTTTAAAATGTCTATATCGTTTTTTATTATTTTTTTACTTTTAGTTTTTTAGTAGATCATTATAAACTAAATGAAAATGAGAAATTTTGCCTTTGCAACTACAGTAGCTGAAATATATATATATGTGTATATGTGTGTGTGTATATATACAGTGGGTACGGAAAGTATTCAGACCCCCTTAAATTTTTCACTCTTTGTTATATTGCAGCCATTTGCTAAAATCATTTAAGTTAATTTTTTTTCCTCATTAATGTACACACAGCACCCCATATTGACAGAAAAACACAGAATTATTTCAATAAATGTTTATTTTATTTCAAGTACTGGATTGTTTTATGGTTTCAGTTTTAGTTTAAACTATATCATCTACACCCACATGACTTTCTCCTGTGGAATACAAAAGGAAATGGGTCAATGACATGACAAGACCTCTTTTGTGATGAGCATGTTTTTCATTTCTGAATTACAATTCATTTTGCCATTTTTGGGGAGACATAATATAAATATCATAAAGAAAAAAGAATGAAGAATTAAAAAATGAAATTCTTGATTTAAAAAAAAGTTTTTTATTTTGTTTGTCATAATCTTTTATTTGATTTATTTATTTAGTTTTAATATAAAGTAATTTAATAAAACTTTTGTCTGTCATGTGGTACAATCAGCAGTCAGCTAAAAAAAGAATCAAAACAAAACAGGAAATGTTATGGTCAAGTGCTGCATGCACACCATGTCATAATTACTGTAATTTCAAGAAAACAACACATGACGTTGTACTCAGAGTTGTTCACATCCGCGGACTCAGAATTATGCGTTTCTATGGCAAAACTATCATCGCCTAAGCATAGCGCCGAAATGAATCTGCAGTGGTCAGGTGGTACAAGACGCAGCTCTCAGAGAATTCCCAGTTTACAAGTTATAATTATGAGTCATACAAGGATGAGTTCTACGAGTTGGAATCTCGTAATTACGACGTGGCGTGAACGCTCCTAACGAGTCTCTTAAAATACCTGTATTTCTATATTTTTCTGTAATTAAATTATTTTATGACATGGAAAAGTGAGTTCAAGTTGTAAAATGTTGTGTTGTGCAACCCTTTAAAATGTAATGATATTTATGAACAATTTGTGATATTTGTAAAAAAAAAAATACTTTTAAACAATTCAAATATATTCAGAAACCTTTTTTTTTAATTTATACTCGCAGTATTCAATGTGTATGGAAAATACTACTTTTTAATTGATGGTTACACCACATGACATTTTTAGTCATTAAATAAAAAACTTAAAAGCCAGCATAAATACAAAATATTTTTTTCTCCTGACCCCAGATATTTTGCAAAGTGTTCAAGCTGTTCTTTTCCATACAATGAAGCATAGAGTGACCAGGTGACGCTCCAAACAGGACATTAAAAGCTCCATAAAAGTACTTCATTTGGCTTTTATGCTTTAATCCAAGTCTTTTGAAGAACTAAGAGATCTAAAAAATGTAGTGAATAACTTGTTTTTGCTGTTACTAACACAAGCTATCGTATGGCTTAAGAAGACTTGAAATATAGTGCACAAATCATATAAACCACTTTTCTGGTATGTTGTTTGCCATGTTTGCTTTTACTCATGAATCATGATGATTGTGTAAAAGAGCAGCTGGAACATTCTTCAGAATATCTCCTTTGTGTTTCATGGCAGAAAGTAAGTCAAACCGGTTTAGATTGAAATGAGGGTGAGTAAATGATGACTGAATGTTCATATCCTCAGTGAAATAGGCCTTACATTTATGTAATGGATCATCTTCCCGTATGTGGGAGAAGATGAACAATGTCATTCCCACAAAAGTGCATGGCAGCGCAAACAGTCAGTAACTAGATTTCACAGCAAGTAGTCTTGCGAATAAGTTGATTGTTGACTAGTTTATCTAATTCAATCATTTTTATGATTGTTGGTAATCTTCTCATCACTCCATAACATTGTATATTAACTTAATTAACGTATCGACTAACACAAGCCCTGCTTTAACCTTCACTGTGAGCATGTGTGTCATCCAGACGCTCTGTCCTGTTTCTCTCTGTCTCTCGTCTCATCTCCTGCTATTCTCTCAGTCCGTCTGAGAGAGTAGAAGAGGAAAATGGAGAGGAACCATTTTTCCAGAGTCCCACCCCTCCCCAGCCCCCATCTGCACCCGCAGCGGCCGATGAAGAGGAGGAGGAGCTGGTGAGCAGGGCTCTCTCTCTCTCTCACACATACTCCACATCCATCTGCTGCTCTTCATTCTCACAAACTAATTATTTGATTGTCATTTAAAACTGAATACACAATGTCCTTCGTAGACAAGTCAATCATTTTGAAAATGTGTAATTAACCTGATTATTAACTGCGTGTCATTAAAGGTCTAGATTGTCTTCTAATATTGACAGTTCTCAAGCATGCTGCTTGATATAGTGTGAATGAATGCGGTGTAGTGGTTTAGCGCTGGTTACCGGAAGGTTGTTGGTTTGATGCCCACAATGAACAAGCTATGAGTCCAGCCAGGTCTATAATGCTAGGAGAAAACTCTTCTCCTGTGAATCACGGTTTCTTTCTATGACTATATCACATCAAAGTTGTCATAAATAAAATAAATCATAAATACAATATATTGTAATAAAAAATATATACAGTGGGTACGGAAAGTATTCAGACCCCCTTAAATTTTTCACTCGTAAAGCACATTGCGATGCATAGATTCCATAATGAAAATTCAAATGCATCCATTACAGTACTAAAATTTAATATTACTGCGGTACTTCATTATAATTTTCCATTATAATATCCAATGCATTAAGCAATTACTTATCCAAATCATTATTTGTATGAGTTCGTCAGACTTACCTGGTATATTTTGTCAATATTTTACTATAAAGCAAAGTTGTCACTCCAGTTTTCGATATGTAAGATTTAATGTTTAAAAAAAAAATCATTTATTCATTTATTTGATCAAAAATACAGTAAACAGTTACATTTATTGTAAAAAAATAAGTACTATTATGAAATATTATTAGAATTTAATAGAACTGTTTTCTATTTGAGTATATGTTAAAATGTAATTTATTTCTGCGGTGCAAATCTGAATTTTCAGCATCGTTACTCCAGTCCTGAGTGTCACATGATCCTTTAGAAATCATTCTGATACGCTGATTTGCTGCTCCAAAACATTTCTGATTACTATCAATGTTGAACAGTTGTGCTGCTTCAAATTTTTGTAAAAAAAAAAATTTTTTCATGATCCTTTGAGTACAAAAGTTCAAAAGCATTTATTTCAAATAGAAAACATTTGTAAGTCTATAAATGTTTTTAATTTCTTTCAACCAAAAAAAAAAAAACTCTTACTGACCCGACTTTTTAACAGTAGTGCACAATGTTCTCAGCATATATTGGAAAATAATTATGAATATCCCAAAATGCATCATTCCAAAAATAGTAATTGAAACTAAATGACTGTATTTTATGTTGCATCACATGATTTAGTGAAGAATTGTAATAGAATTGTCCTTGTGTGGTTCTGTTGCAAAAAAACATGCCCAAAACTATAACATTGAACCAATAGAGTGAGTTTGGGGGCGGGACTCTATTTGTTCAACCAATGAAATCAGTGGCAGAGATTACTAGTTAATTTACAATGTGTTTGTTCAATAACTCAAATTAACAGTGAACTGACTGATGCTCTTCTGTGAATGTCCTCAAGAGTCTGAAAGGACGTCCCCCTCCCGCCCCTCTGTTTGGTGACGATGATGATGATGATGATGACCTGGACTGGCTGGGCTGATGTCAACCTTCTCAGTCGAAGTTGAAAAACCAGTGCCTGACCTCAAGACGACTGCCAGCAACAAGGCCAGACGATCTCTGACATGAGGAAAAGATGTTTGTGTCCCGGACCTCAGTGAACACGGGCTTTGATTAGTGGGTTGGGATGGTTCTGGAAACATTTCAGCATTTTCTGTGATCAAAGAACAGAGGGTAACGTCCTTCCCAAAATCTTAAAAAGCATTGGAATGAAAATCTCTATGGCAGTATGGACCAGCTGCTGCTCATAAACTGATTTACTACACATACAGCAAAAAAAAAAAAAAAAAATCATCTTTAAATCTACAAATACTGTAAATCATAGAAACGGTTGATTTTTTTTTTTTTATCTTAATTTATTATGTAATGTTCCCATCTTTAACACAGGGTTTTCATGTGTAATTCAGCCTGCTGTCTCTGTTCTTAATATTTATACATAGTACTAACAGCAACCAGTTGCATATTAATAAAGACTCAGACTGTCTGTCAGTTTCTTCAGTGTTTGACTGATTTCTTTATCAGTTCATACCTTCAAAGAGGGAAAACTGTAATAAACAAGAAGCAGAAAGTTACCAGTCAAAAACATCAATAACAGGTAAGTAGTGATACGGATCTTCATCAGTTACAATAAGGAACAACAGACCACTGAATGAATTAATGCACAATGTGTGCGTCAAGTTTTAATAATTCAGTGGCCTGTCATCAGTAATTCTGCCTTTATCACCTTCACCACAAATATGTGACCCTGGAGCACAAAACCAGTCTTACGTCGCTGGGGTATATTTGTAGAAATAGCCAAAAATACATTGTATGGGTCAAAATTATTGATTTTTCTTTTAAGCCAAAAATCATTAGGATATAAAGTAAAGATCGTGTTCCATGAAGATATTTTGTAAACTACTGTAAATATATTAAAACTTAATTTTTGATTAGTAATATGCATTGCTAAGAACTTCATTTGGACAACTTTAGAATTTCATTTGGACAACTTTAAAGGTGATTTTCTCAATATTTAGATTTTTTTGCACCCTCGGATTCTAGATTTTCAAATAGTTGTATCTCAGCCAAATATTATCCTGTCCTAACAAACCATACATCAATGGAAAGCTTATTTATTCAGCTTTGAGGTGGTGTATAAATCTCAATTTAAAAAAATTGACCCTTATGACTGGTTTTGTGGTCCAGGGTCACATATATCTATATTATAGGTCTCATTCATAAAAAACAAGCAGAATAGATATTTTGCTAATTCAACGGGTTCCTTCATTCCCTGATATGAAACTGTACAACTGCATACAAAACAAACCTTGATCAAGTTGTTCACAGAGAATGTGTTTTTGCATTCCATTGCACTGCTTTTCCATATTTTTTGTGTAAATATGTGCTAGATGGACTTGTTTGACTGTTGTGCTCGCGTGTCGAGTCTTTTTCAGTGTCTTGTGCATGACACGGCATTCTAAAACCACAATGCTCAACTTAAAACCAGTTCTGTTGTATAGCAGTGGTTTTCAATGGCTTGTCAGATTGTGTCAACCAATCAGAACTGAGAATTCAACAACATCATGGACTGATTATTGTTACCAAAAATGAAGTTGCTTTAAAAAAAATATATATGAAATTAATTAAACTGTTAGCGCTGGCATTCGTGACAGGGGCATCCTTGCAGGATTGACCCGCTCAGCTTTTCCCAAAGATACTCAATAGTTTATAAAACCCTTTGTTTTAGTGTTGTTTCTGCAGATGTGATATGTTAGTTTGTGTGACGTCACTAAGAGCATAAATAAACTTGGAGGGCAACAAAACATTTGCGTACGGCTCACTAGATCATTAGGACAACGCGAACTGAAACAGGGATGAGCTGCAGTCCTGTGGAGGTGTTTGTGTTCCTGAGCTCCCAACGGATGTCATAAAAAAAAACGCTGCTTCAGTTAGAGTCTTCATATTTCCCAAAAAGTGCTTGTTTTAGACGAGTGTCTGTCTCTAAGAAACCCACCACCAGTGAAAGCTGGTGCCATACGAGAGGCCATCAGAGGAGTTAGCGAGGACAGATTAAAAAAAAATAAGCTTCATGGTACCACCGTGTGAACACCAGAGAGAGATCATCGCAGGTCTAGCATCGATACAGTGCCTTCTGTGATTCTAATGTGAATACCATCCTGAGGGGAAAAACAGAAGACAAAAAACTGTATTTATCATATATGACTCATGAAACAGCGCTGAACGCTCAGGTGTAGGTTGATGTCACTTACAGTAAAGAGAGGAGGTTCTTTGGGGTGCGGATGAAAGCCTTTCTGAGTGCAGCTTGAGATCTCCTCCATGCCGTAGTCAGTCAGCCTGAAGTAGCCCGTCCTGTACAGGTGCACACGTCAACATCAGTATTACATCAGTGCTTCTCAAGCTTTTTGACTCTAAGGCCCCCATTTCACTTTCTTTTTTTTTTTTTTTATACACATGCTACATTTTTCTACCCAATAAAATATTTTAAAGCTCGACATCCCTAAAAAAAATGTATACTCAATATAGAAATTCTCATGGCTTTTTAGGATTATTGATTTCCATGACTTTTCCAGCTTTAGAAATCCCAGACAATCAACTAGTTTTTAGTCGTGATAACGTTTTTTTTGTTTGTTTTGTTTACTCCCAAATAGGAATTTCTCAGAATTTTCGATCCAATAAAATATTTTAGAGCTTGATATAACTAAAAAAAAACAAGTATATTCAATATAAATTCCACAACTTTTTGAGCTCTAAAAATCATAATCTGTTAGCTTCCTAGTCGTTCCAATAAACCCATTAAAACATGCTAGAGCTTGACATAATTAGAAAATTTTGCTATTCCAAAAAAATATAATATGTGACCCTGGAGCACAAAATCAGTCTTAAGTTGCTGGGGTATATTTGTAGCAATAGCCAAAAATACATTGTATGGGTCAAAATTATAGATTTTTCTTTTATGCCAAAATCATTAGGATATTAAGTAAAGATCATGTTCCATGAATATATTTTGTAAATTTCCTACCGTAAATATATCAAAAATTAATTTTTGATTAGTAATATGCATTGCTAAGAACTTCATTTGGACAACTTTAAAGGCGATTTTCTCATTATTTAGATTTTTTTTGCACCCTCAGATTCCAGATTTTGGTATCTCTGCCAAATATTGTCCTATCCTAACAAACCATACATCAATGGAAAGCTTATTTATTCAGCTCTGAGATGGTGTATAAATCTCAATTTCGAAAAATGTACACTTAAGACTGGTTTTGTGGTCCAGGGTCACATATACGCATTTGCAAGATTTTAATACAGGCCTATAATATTAAGCAAAAACATTTAAACTTTTTTTAGCTTATTTTAAACCTTGTTTGGTCTTATTTAAATTATTTAAAGTCATCTTGGTAGTGTGCTTGAATCCCAGCCCCCTGATTGAGAAGCACTGTATTGCACAGCAGAAATACAACACCTCAGAGATCATCAACAAGCAAACTATAAACTTATTACCATGCTGGACCTTACAGTGAGCAAGTGAGGTCTGACTTCACTGTTTTGTGTCTATAACACAGTTCGGGCTGAAATCTGTCTGATTCACTAATGAATGATTCAGACACTTTGAAGTTAAGTGTAATTTTGACTTAAGTGTCCAAATAGTTTTTGGGGCCACAGCATCTCACTTGTAACTGTCACTGCTGTCATGTCTCTCATGGCTGGACTTACTCGTTGAATTTGGGAGAGCAGACGATGGCGATGGACTCCGGCAGCATCATCTGGTATGAGCAGTGAGTGTGCAGGTCAACGCTGGATAGGAAGGCCGTCTGAGTGGGGTGAGTCTGTGGGGTGAGTCGGAGAGACTGTGACATCTGAATGATGACTGTAGTAAGACAACTGTATGCATCCACTGTACTAGGGCTGGGTATCCAGTTTGATACTTTTTAGACACCGACCGAATTGCCTCGATACCATAGAGCAGTGGTTCCCAACCACGTTCCTGGAGGCCCCCCAACACTGCACATTTACCATGTGTCCTTTATCTGACACACCCATTTCTGGTCTTGGAGTCTCAGCTAATAAGCTGATGATCTGAATCAGGTGTGCTTGAAAATGTGCAGTGTTGGGGGGCCTCCAGGAATGTGGTTGGGAACCACTGCCATAGAGTATCGAAAATTTTCCTGTTGTACAGTACCAAATTTCGATACCTAAGGGGTTAATCTTGTGAACGTCAGTGAGTCAGTAAGCGTGCTGCTGGCTTGATGTACATAAATCAAGTGCTGGTGATTGGCTCTGGTGAAGCATCAAGGAAAAACACTAGTTTACGCCGGTTCCGCCCAGAGATGTGGCTCATACGTGAGGCCCGACCCCCATAGATGTAATGCCGGGTTCAGACTACACAATATTTTTGTCGGTCACGATTTTGACTCCTAAAATCTTGTCGTGTCGTGGACAAGAAACATGTCAGACTACACCCATTGTCGTTTACGAATCCCCACGACACCCTATGTCAAGCAAATCGTAACAAAATCGGGCTAAAATCGTGTAGTCTGAACAGAGCATTAGGCTACATTTACACTAGTGTGCTTTTATTTTAAAACGGCGTTTAAAAATGAAAACGATCCACATTCAAACTGGTGTTTCTACTGCATTTCAGAAAAGATCTCCATCCATGCTACATAAGACAATTTATCAGATTTATACTATGCTTTTACTCACTTTAAAACCACCATTGAGTGTTTGTAATAACCTCCGATTGCGATCTAATGAGGGTTTTGGTCATATAATGTTGCTGAAATATGTTATTTGTAGCCTTTTATATCAAGCTCATCGCTACACCTGCGTAGCATTTCTCATGTAAACACACTGTATTGTTATGAAAATAGGCAGAATCTCATGAAAATCGCATACTAATCATATACTGCCGTAATCGTGTGTTTATTAGCTTCATGTTTCATCCGTAGAAATGTTTTTCTTAGTTTCTTATGTACAGAACTGAACGCAGAAGGGAATGGACGTTTGTCACAGGAGACAGGGCGAGATATGAACCCGTAAAATGATTGACAGATCATTGACTTCCTCTGAGTCAGAACAGTGATCGCAGAAGAGAAATCAGACTGAGACAGCGCTAGAAGCAGCTCATGCTCATCAGTAAATCAGTGGAAAACGAATAGAAGTGATGATTCTGTCTGAGCTATGCGTTTTGACATGAAAACGTACTAGTGTAAACATAGCCTAAAAGGTGTGGAAACTGTTTGAACTTTATTAAAACTATTTGCACTGATTAATTGTGTTGGTTACATTTTGTTCCTTATAAAACCAAAGTTTGAAGTAATGTAATCTTGTTAAAACTGATTTCATAAAACTGGTATTGGAAAAAGTATCGTTCAGGAACTGGTATCGAAGTCAAGGTATCGATATCGGTATCAATAGCGAAACTTTTTGCGCGAAACCCAGTCTACACTGTACTGACGGTCCTTTAGGAAAATGACCATTTCAATATGATTATTTCCTCATTGAGCTTTTTTTTCATCATTTTATCATTATTACATGCTATTGGATATCTGTGGTTCATATCAATTCTATAACAAGAGAAGGCAGAAGTGTGACTCACATGTATCCAGCCCAGCGTGATGAGGTCGTACTGGTCCTGCACCAGAAACAGCTCCTCTTCATTCTCTGTGTCACAGTAATCTGGACCTCCACACTGCTTCGGCACGATCACGTGCGTCACTGTAAACGCGTTCATATTCTGCAACAGGCACACAAACACTCTCCATTCAGATGTCTTAATGCACTGTATTGGTAAAGCTTATCCAAGAATTGGATTAAAGAGTTTTATCTATCTGTCTGTCTGTCTGTCTATCTGACTCAGTCTGATTAGGGTATAGGAAACAAATATCAAGTATTTCTGTGACAGGTCTCATAAGTACTAAACTACTATGCATCTATGCTATTTTACATAGTTACACTGTAGATTCTATATAGAGTGAATGTTTAAAAAAAAAAACAGGAAAAAAACTGTACAAATTTATTCGATGAACCAGTTCGTCAAATCAGACTGAACCATCTGAAACTGTTTGCAGCTCAAGCAGTATAGGTCGTCCTATTCGTCCTATTTTAGCCAATCGTTAAGTGGGGCAGTCGTGGCCTAATCATTAGAGAGTACCTACTGGTGGAAAAAGAAATCGGTGCCTATGGCAGGAGTCACGGTATTGATTTTGTGCTGCCTGATATGCTTTTTTACTCTCTAAGTGCCGGTAGCCATTGACCTACATATTATGAATCAACAGAGACCATGATTTCAGCTAAACATTTTCTGTTCTGTTCTACTGAAGAAAAAAGTCACCAACATCTAGGATGGCCTGAGGGTGAGTAAATTACCAGCGAATTTTCATTTTGGGGTGAACTATGCCTTTAACAGCTGTTTATTCAAGTTAAAATGTTTATCGCAGCTAATTTTTCATGCCAAATATTCATCTTGGTCTGACAAGCCTTCAGCGAATCATATTTGAGCTTTGTTATTGGTAACAGGGAAAATTTAGGTGGCTCGCAACATCCAAATATGGTACGAAATCATAATAAAGAAATAATAAAACATGTCAAAGTAGAGCTGCACGATTCTGGATCAATTGAGAATCACAATTTTTTTTTTGGTGTCAAATAGAGATCACAATTCTCCCACGATTCTGAACTAAACAAAATAATGTATCATTTATTAGAAGCTGTGACAAAATATTAATTGCTGCAGTCTATTTAAAAGTGTTGAATTAATTTACATGAATTATTAAAATGTTTTAAATATATATATATAGTAGTCAACATTTGAAGTGGATCAAAACCTTTAATCAAAGATGTCCTAAAACCAAAACAATACCCGTTCTTGTCTTAGGACAAGACTTTGATGAACTTCTCTGATCCAATACACAAATAATACTTTGTGGTTGAAAAGACTGTTTGTGAAGCGGTTTCTTACCTAAACATGGTAACTGCTCTCTGTGTCAGCGGCAGCGCGAACACAGATTTGAATGTTCCAGTATGACTTTTCCCAAAGATTTAATAGACACAGGCGTTGTCATTTAGAAATGAGATTGCGATCTTTTAACGATTAATTGTGCAGCTCTATCACAAAGTCATACCAGTCTCCCACAGAGTATCCCACAGGTTTCCACTGCTCTTATGGTGTTGTTATTGGCCAATCGCAGAAATTTGCTGCAAAGCTCAGCAGGAACAGCGATCTGCCGTAAACCATCAACCAATGTAGCTGAAACACAAAGAACAACTCCGTGACAACCTGATAACACAGAACTAGAGGCTGCTCTACGTCTAGTGTGGTTTGAGATCTAGCCGTACTGGTGTTGCTGAGGTGACCCGGTTTAAGTGAGCGGTCCACGGTCGGGGGTGCAGCCGAGCTGGGAGCTGACGGAGTGCTGTGATTGGCCGAGTGGTACTGCGGACTCTGAGGGGGAGTGGGGGACTCTAGGTAGGGCAGAGGGGGACCCTGGATCCCAGGGATGAGCAGTCCGTCGTCTTGGTGAGGCGCTGGTGTGTTGAACTCGTGCTCACACTGCCGGTCCTGCTGCCGGATCATCTCCTCAAACCTGCTGAACTGCTCCTGCTCCAGTTGCCTCCTCTGCATGTTCGCCACACGGTGTCTCTCCGCCTCCAGCTCTCGTTGCCGAGACAACTGCCGCTCCAGTGCTTGAGCTTCTGCACGCTGGCAGACGACAGAACCACACTCATAAGACTGACCAAGGTGAAAAAACCATATGCATCTTTAACTTTGAAATGAATTACACCAAACACGTCAGTAATGCATATAGAAAATTACTATTAGACAAATACTATTTTATAAAAAAAAAGGTTAAAAAAATAAAATAAATGAATAAATAAATAAATTTTTTTTATTTAAGGGGGTCTGAATACTTTCCGTACCCACTGTATATATGTTCATCATGGTAACTGGGGATTGGGAGGCTCTGGGGATTTTCGTGGTAATAAAAATATATTGTATATCTAGCATTATGGAATTACAATTACTAGAATTTAGGAAAAAACAAATGTCTGAATGTATTACCGTTAAAAGAATTTGGGAAATGTGTTAAATTGTCATGGAAAAAATGTGAGAACCAAAAAAAACACATGTTCTTGACAGGTTGCATCGGTTTCGCTTTTATTCCATGATAAGTTTTGGAAAAAATGCCTCACCTTTTTGCTGATAAACTCAGCATATTCTTTCTCATATCTCCTCAGTAAATGTTTCTTCAGCTGCTCTGCTTGAGGAAAAGCGGTCTCCTTTAGCTTCTGTGTGAGGAACAACATCAAAACTTAGGCAACTAACACGGTATAATGATCATTTGAGATTATCGATCTAGAGTTCACTAGACTACGTTACCCTTAAAGTCTCCTTCTTCTCAGGAATACTACACAGCTTATATTCTGGATGCTTGGGGAGCTTTTCGATGAAAAGCCTGGTGGGTTAAAAAGAACCAGAGTTAAACCTGTTGTAAGTAAACTGGACATTACCAATATTACTCACACATAACAGATGACTCCCATTTAAGTTAATTAGATACTCCACCCAAAAATAAACATTCTGTCATTACTTACTCACTCCCATGTTGTTCCCAACCCATTTGACTTTCTTTCTTTTGCAGAAAACACAAAGGAATGTATTCTGAAGAACGTTGGGAACCAAACAACATTAGAGCCAAATCATCTTTTGTGTTCCACAGATGTAAGCAAGAAAGTCACACAGGTTTGAACCAACATGAAGGTCAGTAAATGATAAAAAAAAAAAAAAGAACCTTTATTTTTTCAGTTGAAGTGTCCCTTTAAAATGCAACAGAATGAGCTAGAGCTGTGTTCAGGCCTTCTTACGTGATGTATTTGTTGTAGAGGACAAAGGCGTGCTCTGTGTTGCCCTCCTCGGCGTACACATGGGCCATGCGGATCACCTCCATGCCCGAGCGGAAGTATCGGCGGAGGGGCACTGCTTCATTCATGTCCACAGCCATGCCCTTCTTGGTCAAGGCCCGCACCCGTTCATCCGGGGTCAAACTCACATCGGCGTGGTCCAACATCATGCGGTCAGCGTCCTCAATCTAAGCCTTCAACCCCGTGACACAAACGAGAACACGTTACAGACAAAACTGGATTTCTCTTGCACTTTTGAATGAAAGAATTTAGTAGATTTACTATGCAACTACATCAACTTAATGAATGACACATTCGTTTACGTATAAAAGTCTTAAAGGTACAGTAGCAAACTTCATGCATTCTTACACTAGTGAGTATAATATTAACTACTAAGTAGTGAACAAGTAATACTATTTACTCTGCTGGACCGAATAAAGATTAAATAAAGTGTCTGATACAGCTTCAAACACTTTTAAAAACTCACTTTACAATATTTTGCATCATATCGCAAAATAACCAACAGCTGGGGTCGCCTTTATTGATTTATTTTTTAAAATATGTGAATTGTTATGGTATGCATGATGATTATCCATGAATATGTGCAGCTAGCTGGCTAATATTAGATAATAAAGTCTTACCGTGGTAATAATGACAGTCTCTGTCTTTCAGATCACAATCACATGAGCTGGGGAAACTCGTCCATCGCCTTTAACTGTATTTCACGGGAATAAAGGCGAGTTAAACGGCGTTATATGGCTCTGCCTCCATCCTTTTCGCTGTAATCTCCTCCAGCACTCACTCACTTCCTCTTTCAGTGTGACGCAAACTAACAGCCGCTCTCAGATCAGTCTGCTCTCCCTCTGTTGCAGGGTTGCCAGGTTTTCACAACAAAACCCGCCCAATGGGGGTCCTCCGGTAAAAATCCCGTTCCGGGGGGTAAAATACAAGTTTTTTGGCGTTACTCCCTTGATACAATTCGCATTCCAGGGGCTAAATATCACGTTATTGGGTTCGTTTCAACCCGCGGCAACAGTGTTAAAGTAGCCGCGGGAAAACCGCGGACCTGGCAACACTGCGGCGATAATACAGACGCTGCTGTTTTCACGCTCACGGTCCGATCGATCAGATTCAAGGTGTGTCAGTTAATATGTGACTGATGAACTTTTTACTGTTTACTTAGTGTCATTAACCCAGGAAGCATTCTTAAATAAATAATTTCTGTTGTTGTTGTTGTTATTATTATTAGTAGTAGAATTAATCGACTTGTTGCTGTCGTTAAACAACAACAACAACAACATATTATGTTACAATGAATGTATTAATAAATGAGAAAATAATGCAAAATATAGACATTTTGATAGCGATCTCAGACTTGTAAGCCACACTGTAGTAAAAGTTACTATTTTATGACAGTAAGTAAGGTCTGTATTGCTGCACTGGATTCAGTTCAGATGTTTTTAATGATCAGATCCGTTTTTTATCAAATGACAGAATGCAGTTAATTATTAAACTATTACACATTATATTTTAGAGTTTTTTTTTTTATTTTATTTTAATGCTGACATTTAGTGCTCTTCAACTGCACGCACAAAGGCGCTGGCGCGCGCTGTAGCCTGTATCTTTTCATATCAAAGCGCGAAATAAACTACGTGCATGCAATGTCGTGGTCAGTTAAGTCATGAAGTTACCAAAAAGGCGATTAAAGCTGCCTTAAAACTGTGCATGCATGTAATATATTTTATATGAGTCACATTTACTGTAATGTTTAATGGCTATAGTCAATGGTTAAATATTGGGGGGGTAATTTTATAGATAAATCAGTATTGGTATCATTGATACTGGCCTTCAGTTATAAAAAAGATGCCATTAAACAAATATTTTAAAAATATATACTGTCTTTATGTTGTTTGTACATTAATTTGAAGATTGAATGTGAAATTATTGCAATATAAAAGTATATTTAAAAACTTTAATGTTAGGTGGGATTAATCGCGATTAATTTCAGAAAAATGTGCGATTAATTAGTAATTTTTTTAAATCGATTGACAGCACTAATATATATATATATATACTGTATATGAAGTTTTTTATTTTTCACTTTCAGTTAATGTTCAGGTGACAAGAAGAGACCAGTCAGAGGAAAAATCAAACCTTTATTCAATTTCTTTTCAGAGTAGAAAGAATATCACTTGTGAAAAAGTTGCAATAGTGGTAAGGATTGACCACAGTAAATAGGTAAGTTAAACAACCTTCATATATTTTTTCCCAAGTAATAATTCAAAATAGGTCCTGAATTTCAAGAAAAATGGTTGTGCAAAGCCACTGGTTAAATGTCAAATCATCAATCACAGTCTTAACCGAGAATACAGCGGGAATCACAGTATAGGCACACAACAGGAGTGTGATAGTTGTTGTACATCGCACCAAAAATATATTTCCCACAATATTTCCAATTTTTTGGATTAAGGGGAGTATGAGTATATATCCATTTGTTTCTCATTTCTGGGCATTATCTAGAATTGGCACAGGAATTTTCATAAATCAAGTGTGGGTAATTATAATACTACTGTACACCAAAAACAATCGTCTTTAAATGCATCATTGACTACTGCAAACAACAATGGTGTTTTCTTCATCAGATAAAAAGTGGATTGACTCCAGAACTGGATGGCTTCATTCAACATTAAAGTCACTTGAGTCAAAGCTTTTAGAAGAATGAAAAGTGCAACTTGTCAGAATCAGGGCTGTAGGTTTTTTTTTTTTGTCAAAGTGTCCAGGTGCAGTCCATTTAGAAAACCACAACTGCACCACTGACTGACAAATTCAAATACAAATACAAGTAATTTCAACAGACTCAAACACCTCTCGCGTCATAGATGGAGAGCATACTGTACGCAATTAAAACAAAAAATCTATCAATGATCAGAAACATTAAAACACAGCAGGGCTGACTGATAAAGATTATTTTTAGGCCATGGTGTTACCTTAAATAATTTCCGGCTTTTATTGCTTTAAATCCAAATAAATGATAGTCATTTTTGGTGAAGAAAAATTACATTGAACCAAAACTATAAATACATTTCTTTCCGACACATTATTTTTGTTGTTGGAGCAATGAAAAGGGCAAGTATGAATCTAAACTACTGGTCTGGCTGGGTTAGCAAATAAAATCCTTTTTGTTGAGCCCTTCAAAGCTGATTTAGCAGATAAGATGCATTCATAGTGTTTAGAACATCTTTAACGTAGGAACAAACGCTTGCTGCTTCTTTTCTAGTCCACACCTGTAGAAATAACTTCATGTCCCATAAATGTGTGCGGTCAGCTTCAAGTGGTACAGCAGCGCTCAGAACAATTCAAAACTCAATCATTCCCAATCTCCCATAAAACATCATTCAAGCAGCCAACATATACTTTACAAATATGCATATCTTTTTCTTCTGTATTACCCATTTCGCCCAGCAATAAATTGAGAAAAGGAAAAAACAAAGAAAACCACGTAACTCTACCAAAAAAGGCTCGGTAATTAAACAGAACGAGAGGCTACAGAACCAACATCTACAATATGTACCGCTACAGCGAATTTCAATTATGAGTTTGTAACACTCTAAACCTAAATGAAGATCATCCCAGAAATTTTAGAGCTACAATAGACATTGTCTTCAACATACCTGACATGCTATGGATGGATGAGAATTTGTCATCATTAATATCATTTTGGATGAATTAGTGACAGCTGCTGTGCAGTGTTTATGAGTGGTGATATATGCCTCATTATGGATAATTCAAGTTTCAAAATCAGTTCAAATATTTCGATTCCACCACCGCTGACTCGTCTGACTGGATTTTCTCACTGGAAAACAGAATACAGAACACAATATAATTTCATTTCAAATATAAGACAATTGATTGGTCTAAAAATGTCCACTGAGGCAGAAACTGTAACATAATGTAATAAAGTGGCAACAGATGTTTTCTTTATTAGACGTTTTATTTGATTAAGGGTGTACTCACAGACTCGCGAGCAGGCGGGATTATGCAAATGTGTTACCCAGTGACGTATACCGGTAACAGGCAAAAGATTCGAAAATATGACGACTCGTTAAGACGATTCAGAATCGACTCTCTCTTTTGAGAGACAATATCTTTATTTACGTATCATGCACTTTTTTGATTAACAACTTTGCAGATTGTTTTCATTTAAGGATAGCTACGTTATAAACGGCAAAAGAGATATTTTTCAAAAACCCATATGACCTGCTCTTTAAGCAATGAGAAGGGTTTGGCCTGATGGTGGAAAAGTGGCTATAGTTAGAAAAGCGAAATCAGTGCTGTTCTTATGATTTCAATCACGTATTATTATTGCAGTTCCTAATTAGGTTACATTCAACAAAGAGCGAGGAGCTTTTTATTTACTTGCCATAGCCGAGTTTAACTCGCATTTGGGTTAATGATAAATAAGAGTGTAAATGACAAAGACAAGGAAATAGCTTAAAACATTCGCTTCACAATATTTTGAAAACATTTTTTAACATTAAGAATTTTAGCATTATCTAAAATTCCACATTTTCGCAAAATTTAATGTGGTATAACCAAGTAAAAAGTGACATATAATCATAATAATGACATCTTTTCCTTGAGCACCTTGAATATATGTGAGAATACATTTAAGTTTTTATAATACAAATATTTTTTTATCAGTCTTTTTGCAAATAATAAAAGTTTTGGGGAGATGCACCACTCTGCATTTAATTTCTAAACATTTCCTTTTCATTAAAAGGTCAAATAATCTGATATAGACTTATTGACATTGAAATACAGTCATCATGAGTGTTTACACGGGTCCTCTCTATGATATCATTTCCTGTTTTATGTTTTTTATTGCATTTTGTTTCCATGCATGTTGGTCACACAACATGACTGATTTAGTGGACTACAGTTTTTCAAATACTAATAAGCGGTTTTGTTAAACATTTAAAAGCTTTATTAAACTACTTAAGGTTTTATTATTATATTTTTCTTTTATCATGATATCATGACAGTTATATCACCCTGGAAATTTTTCCTTTATGCTCAATGAATTTTATGCAAATGAATTTTAATTTTGAAAAAATGTGCATAGAAAAAGTGTCATTATGTAGTTTTTTTTATATAAATTAATAGATATGGAGTGTTAACTCGCTGTGTATATGTAATGCTACTTACATGCTGCTCGAGTTTGTGGTAATCTGATGTCTTGGGTCTCCGTGTGCCTCTTGATCTCCGGCCCTCAACGACGAAGGCAATAATCTGCAGGCGAAGGCGAAATAAAGAACTGTCATTTAATTGCCACTTGACATCTTTAAAATACAAAAAACGACAAACACGAGTCTCTAGGATGTACAAACAGACCCACTAACCTTGCGCTTGTTGTGACTTGCGATATACAGCACAGCCACCAGTATAACGGCACAGACCAGATAGGCAAAGAAGTGGCTGTTCTCTGCATTCTCTGATTGAACATTTTGCTTGCCATCGTCCTTCTTTCCTGTTTTGCTGTTAGATGTATCCTGTTCATTTGAAGGTTCACCAGCATTATGGTGAACACCACCTTTACCTTCAGCCGCTTCATCAAAGTCATTTTGTTTGGCTTCATCGTCTGTAGGGTTCTCAGGTGTGGTCATCATCTCTACACTCTTGTCATCCATTTCATCTCCACCTTCTTCAGAAGGTTCAGGGTTACTACTGTCATCAACCTCATTTTGGTCAGCTGTGGCTGGCTTTTCACCTTTTTTACCACTTGGTAAAAAATCATCTTCTTTATTTTGTTTCTCTGTGGTCGTCTTCTCTTTAACCTTACCATCTGCTTTTGGTGCACCTACATCAGGTTTACCAGCGTCATCGTCTTTTTTATTTTGGTCAAGTGTGGGCGGCTTGTCTTCGCCCTTTCCTTCATTGTTTGACACATCTTTTGTAACAGTTTCCGGGATTGTGTTTTCATCATCTGCTATATTGGGGACAGGTAGGGTTTGATTATTTCCATCTTTTGCAGCATTATTTTCGCTATCAAGAATAGCTTCAAGAATTTGAGGGTTTTTAACCTCTTTATTACCGTCAGATGTGTTTGTATTTTCTTCATTTGCGGTTTCAACCACTGTGTTCACAGGATCATCATTCTTTGATGTGCTGGCGTCATTACTTTTTGGCCCATTTGCTGATGTGCTCTGCAAAACAGCTGTACCTTCATCTGTGTCCAGTTGCTTAGGAGTTGTATTGGAGCAAACTGGAAAATACCACAAAAATCACAATAAAATCTTGGGCATAACGCACAGTTTAAGCCTATAATATCATCAAAACACCAAATGAAGGAATATCTTTTGAAAGAATCGTATCCCATTTCTCTAGTAGAGTTCCTCAGACTTGCAGAATCAATGCCAAAGCGCATTTCATTTCTTCTGGTGGCCCCAACACTTTACTAAGACACTTCATGTTGGTTTTCACTTAAATTTTTCATCGGTCTGTATATTTTTACTGATTTATGAAGATAATATACAGTAAACAGGGAATACACACGCATATATGGCAACATGTAAACAAAGGCGACTTCAAGCAGGAAGTCACTCCTATTTAAGTACATTTCTAAAGCAGGAATGTGGTTCATCCAGACACTCTTTACCACCTCGGCCCCTGTCACGCATGGCAAAAGTGGGGAAAACGTCGCACTTTAGCTTAATAATTAGCCAACAACATGTAGAATAATAGTAGAGATTGTCTTTTCATTTCCAAATACAGTGCGCACGAGGACAGGGATTTAGATGTAAAAAAAAAAAAAAGGATTTAGATGTAAACACGTTACGAGGTATATCAATCTATAATATCGTCCCTCAGCCCCACAAACACCATCTAACAGTATAACTAGAGGAATACATTGACTCACCTTGATGCAAGCAAAGCAAAACTATGAACAGCGCTGTTAAGCGAATCATGGCTTCAGTCAGTGATACAGTGACACATGAGATTGACAAAACGCCGACGCGATTCCGGTAACGTTACAGACACTTCCGTGTTTACACACGAAACCCCCGAGGTTTGATGTAAAACGCGGACCGGAATCACTTACCTGTAACAGAGAATTTAGTATTTATTATTACCCTGCCCAAAAAGACCATAAACATTGCAGATAAAATCTGAAGTAACAATTAATTTACATACACATATCTTAAAAACTAATCCTGTGTGACTGATGCGCTTCAAATCGGGTGATTTTAGGTCAAGGTTTCAGCTGTCAGTCAATGATGGCGGCTCGAACACTTCCGGTGGCTTCAGCGCCTGATGCAGTCATTATAGAGGCTAGTGTTTTTATGTTGGTCTCTAGTACCATCAAAACCATTATAAAGCACAATAATTTTTTTATTTTATTAATTAAATAAAATAATTAATAAAATTTAAAAACAGCAATTTTTTCTATTGCTGTTTTATGAACAAGAGAACAGAATTAAACCACACTGACAAACATTAAGACATTTATTTAAAAAAATATTTAGAAAATAACAGTGATGGACATTTTTTGATAGCCTAATTACTGAACATGGCAAATTAGATGAGAAAATAGGCCTATCTATCTGATATGAGAGAGGGAATAAATGTGCTTAAAGGCATAGTTCACCCCAAAATTAAAATGGTCATAATTTACTCACCCTAAAGTTGTTCCAAATCTGGATGAGTTTCCTTCATCTGTTGAAAACAAAGGAAGATATTTTGAATAATGGCGGTGACTAAACAGTTTCTGCTCCCCATTGACTTCCATAGTATATTTTTTTCCATACTATGGAAGTCAATGGAGGCCAACAATTGTTTGGACTTCTAAATTTCTCTTCTTGCTTTTTTTTATTTCAAATTCCTAAACATTATTCCAGATGTGGCCAACTGAGTTTGAACTGACATGAGTTTGAACATGAACTGATATGGAGGTAATTCTAAAATTGCGAACGTCCTACTAATTCCAGCTATCTTCCACCAGAGGCCACCAGAGATTTCCCCAAACCTTCAACTACACAGCACCTCACCAAAACCAGTCCTCCTAATGGGAGTGCTCTCTTTCAGGATGAAAACACCCACATCCGCGGGGAGTGACATGTCACTGAATGTTTCGATGAGTATAAAAATGATGTGAAATGATGTGTTAGCAGAACAGGGAAGTCTATGGAGTGACTAACAAACGCAGGACATTGCTTTTCTTTTTGTTTGTTTGTTTGCTTGTTTTCTTTTCTTTTGCGTCTTTTTGTTTTATTTTGTTTTGTTTGTTTTTATGTATTGTTTTTTGTTTGTTTTCTTTTTGTTTTGTTTTGCTTGTTTTTGTTTTGTTTGTTTTTATGTTTTGTTTCGTTTTGTTTTTTGCTTGGTTTTGTTTAGTGTTTTGTTTTGTTTTGATTGTTTTTGTTTAGTGTTTTTCTTTTCTTTTTTGTTACAACTATTCACACAGCATATAGTTTCTAGCTTCGTTATCATGATCACAGCCAGGTAATATGGACATCAGTGCTTTCTGCATGTCACCTATAGTGAGGTTTACAAGACAAAAATCGGAGATGCAAGTAGAGTCTGGACTGTAAAGGGCAGTGTAAGACCATGAATTTGTTAAAAGCCTTTTGTTCACTGAACTAAAAAATTGTCTAAATTACATCACCAATTCAGCTTTCCCCCCCCAATGCAGCTCTCCCTTTTCCTCTTTCTCTAACTCTTAAGAATATGACCCTTTCAATTAGGCTGTATTAAACTTCAAATGCATCAAGAAATATGAATGTGATCAGTCAGTTATTTTTAATTAACCACCTCGTTCATCACTAAAGTGAACACAATGTTAGAGAGAGTGAAATGATTTTAAAACTGTTTGAAGTTCAGCTCAGAACTCAGAGCATGCATTGATAGGACTCTCTAGAGACGGACTCGAGCTCCTCCTGCAGGAGCAGAGAACAGAACAGAACAGACTCTGAATGAGCAGACCGAGGGCCAGACTCACACAAAACACCACGCCAAATTCACAGATATGGCTTGAACGTGTTCCTGAGGAGAACACAAACCCAGAAGACTGAATGTTAGAAAGCAGAGTGGTCCAGCAGATAGAATGCTTTCTAGTGTCTCTTTCACAGCAGATGTCCTCTTTAATTTTAATAACAAAACTCAATGCTTTATGTTTCTCCAAGTCTTATGTCTGGGTTCTTAAAGGAATAGTTTAGTCAAAATGAAACTTCTCTCATGCAGTTCCAAACCCGTATGTCTCTCTGCCTTCTGTGGAACACAAAGATTTTGCCGATTTTTCATGTTTTGCTTCCATTAGATGGGAAAGCGCAGCATTTTCTTTTGTGCTCCACACCGAAAGTCATACGGGTTTGTTACAACATGAGGGTGAGTAAATGACTTCTCTTTTTTGGCAAAAACTGACTCCCACCAAACATAAACGCATTTGTTTTTTGTCAGACCACGTGCGTGAGATTATCTTTCCAATGTAAATATGTTCTACAGCAAAACGGTTGGCCTAATCTTTATCTTGTATGGCCTTAACGACTGTCATGAATAATTTGTCACAGCGACCAAAGATCTTGCACAACATGCAAATCTTGTTAATGTTAATCAGTGTTTTACTCCTCAGCTGGAGACAAAAGCCCTGCAGCCTCAAATAGTCCACCAGGCCTAATCGTAGTCCTGACATTTAGTACTACTGAATACGATCCCTCTTACTCTTCATCTGAGTTTCCTTCTTTAAGGTCAAATGGTCGTAAATAAAACATTAAGAGGCGGTCTTGGGCGCGCGGCCAGGTGATACCTGTCTTCACGAGGAGCTGCCAGCTGACACACTGCCAAATGTAATGAGAGTGTTGATCAAACAATCAATGAATATGTTAGCAGGAACGCACCTACTGTAACTGTCCATCACTGCACACGGCAAGAGACGTTGCTGTTACCTTCAGGTGGAACAACTTACAGAAAGGGCCAGTCATAGCCTACATGCTGTTCTCACTGTGACCTCCTTCATTTGGAGGAGTGAGTCTTTAATAATCTGATGTGGCCAGTTGGAGACAGCAGGAGACCTTCTCCTTTGTGAAGTAACCTACAGGTGGAACAACTAATGGAAAGGATTTTAAGGCTAAGAAAGCCCAAATATAATTTCCCACTTACTAGTAGAGACCCCCTTCCAAAATTATAAAAGCAGCTCTATATTTTCATGTATAAAACCTCATTTGTGTGAGAAAAGTATTGTTTGTTATTATAGAGATTAAATGTTTTTGTTTCATTATTATTAGGGCTGGGTAAAAAATATCGATATCTCGATATTAATCGATTCTCATTTTTACGGAACGATATCGATTCTTAAATCCCAAGAATCGATTAGTCTAGCCTGTTTTCAGTTAACGGACAGAACGTTGAAGGGAACTTCCCATCCAATATATCGCAATAAGCATTGTTCTTTGGTACTTTTAATATGAAACAAAGTCTCAGATTTCAAATGTTGTCCATTGTATTGCAGTATTCAAACAATAAATGCCATTTTGGCGCTGTTTAATGTGGAGTGACAGATCGCTGTAGCGCCTCAGTTCAATAAAAGCGGCAGCGCAAGGCGCACGTGAACTGATCATCTCCTCCACATTAATACCAGTTTCAGCACAAAATAAACATGACTAAACATCCGAAGGTAAGTTAAAAGAAAGAGTACAACTTTACAATCCGTATCCTGCCTCATGTAGTCGCTCAATCAGTGTTTCAGCCGGCGCTGTTTAATGTGGAGTGACAGATCGCTGTAGCGCCTCAGTTCAACAGACGCCGCAGCGCGATGCGCACGTGAACTAATCATCTCCTCCACATTAATACCAGTTTCAGCACAAAATAATCATGACTAAACATCCGAAGGCAAGTTAAAAGAAAGAGTACAACTTTACAATCTGTATCCTGTCTCATGTAATCGCTCAATCTGTGTTTCAGCCGCGCAAAGACGCCAATATAACGGCTTGTAAACAATATGTGTCAAGTAATGTCACATTTACCTCAGAAAAACATATTCGGTGACCATAAACTCATTAGTTCCATCAGCTTATTAGTCAGATAGAAAAATAAACTGTAAATTTCGTTTCTTTTTTCCCCCTACTCTCTATTAATGTTAAATACATAAACCTGAAGAGAAACTTTTTCAGTTCAGTTCGGATCAGGGTTATTATAGTTTACTAAATCTGAAACAACAACAACAACACTTTCACCACTTGAAATAAAATAAACTTTTGTCAAATAAAATATATATAAAATCCTTATTCTATTTCATCTGTTGTCGAGGCAATATTTTAATTTTCATTTAGTTTAACTTGATGTGCTAAAATAAATACAATTAAAACTGAAACAAAAATTAAGAAAAATATACTGTAAAAATGGATATGATCAGTAAGCCATGTTTTTACATTAGTTTAACACATTAAAATAAGTTGAACAATTTCATAAGTATATGAGATTCAGCTCGAGTTTTAAGTCAGTTTAATATAAATGAAGTTGATTACTTAAAAATTTAAGGCAGCAATTAAACATAAGTTTCTAAGTTGTAAGTAGTTAACATTTTTTTAACAGTGATACAGGAATATATATAAAAAAACAATAAAAATGACAAAACAACAAAAAAACTAAAACTTTAAAATTAAACTGAAAGCAAAATATAACCATATAAAATAATACAAAATATTAAAAACTATAACAATATCTCAGTGGTATTAAAATAACACTGATCCAGATTTATTTGTAAAGTGTTTTTCACTGTAAATATTGTTCTAAAGCAGTGCTATAAAATGACTGCATTTTATTAATTAGTTGACTGATTTTTGTGTGCGTGTGTGTTAACACATTGACAGGCCTAAAATAAAATTTTGTAAAAATATGAAACCCCATTATACTGATAATAGATGTAGATTCTTATTATATATAGTTCATATACACAACCAGTCAAATGTTTGAACACACTCGACTGAATTTATGTTTCTCATGAGCTTAAATACTTGTGATAAGGCTTCAGCGTAAATGTATGCAATGTAATTTGTTATTATACATATTTTTTTTAAACGAGTGAGTCTGCAAGTGTGCAGCATATATGTTATCATATATCTTTCAATATTGTGTAAAAAGCATCCCAGGATGCAACTCACGAGAATGAACTCAAATAAGAGAGGTTTGATGTGTTTATCTAAAATCATTAACATTTTAAACTTCTTACTTTATTCATATGAAGAAACAAAATGAGTGTTTGGAGGTCTCTTCTGAATCCACACCACGGCT